TCGCCTGGGGTGTCCCCTCAGAGACCTGGATGCCAGAGTGGGCAGGCAGCCCCTGGGGACCTAGCTCCTCCTGGAAGGGGATTTGGGCACTGCCCACCTTTCCTGGGTCTCCTGAATGATGGGTAGGCCATGGCAGGATCTCAGCCCAGCCAGTCCCGGGAGTTGCCCAGCTGGTGTGATGTGGCCCCCAACCCAGAGCTGTCCACAGCAGTGTGGGGATGTGTCCACATGGAGAGAACGTAAGGGGCTGTGATGGAGCGTGTAGGGTGGGGGTGCAGGCCCGGCGGTCATGGCGCCTCCTTGGAGTGGCCTAAGTGCAGGAGCCCAGGCAGGTGGATCCCACAGTGGTTGTGGGGGCGGGGCAGCTGGCCTGGGGCGAGTGAGGCATGTGGGTGGCTGTGGACGGTGGCGGTGCCAGTGGTGTGTGGTGGGGACGCTATCTCCTGTGTCTGGAGAGCCCTGCCGCACCCCATGGCACTGACTGGCTTCACCCACTCCCTGTGCGGACCTAGTTATTTTTCCCAGCTTTGGGGGAGGCTGGGAAGGTGGCTTCCCCTGGAATGGGGAGCTGTGTCCTTTCCAGATCAGTATTTTAATTAATTTATTTTTTTTAGTTGGGGTCTCATTCTGTCACCCAGGCTGGAGTGCAGTAGTGCGATCACAGCTCACTGCAGCATCGACCTCCTGGGCTCAGGCGATTCTCCTGCCTCAGCCTCCTGAGTAGCTGGGACTACAGGTGCACAACACCACGCCTAGCTAATTTTTTGTTTTGTAGAGATGACATCTCGCTATGTTGCCCAGGATCATCTCGAACTCCTGGGCTCAATGATCTTGCCTCGGCCTCCCAAAGAGCTGGGATTATAGGCAGGAACCACTGTGCCTGGCTGGGGACCAGTATTTTTAGATGGGAGTGTTTGTGTTCCTGCCCACAGGCCATGGAGCACTCAGTGCAACTGACACCGATCGTTAGTCCTGTGGTTTCTGGGTGAGGAGGACACAGCCATCTGAGGCTGTGCTGGGTGGCCAGGTGGGCCTTGTGCCGACTGTGGAGCTGCCCACTGTGGGAAGCTGACGTCTCTGCCTTCCTTGGCCAAGCAAAACCTGGGGGTGCACCTGGGGACACAGGGGAGGAGCCTGGCCCTGGGGACCTCAGTCTGAGCTGCTGCTGGAGGGTTGTGCTTGGGAAGACTTCCTGGAGAAGGAGGGGCTCAGGCAGCACCACCAAGGTGGGGGTGGAGTGGAAAGGCCCATCCTGATGCTAAGCCCCGCCTCAGGCCAGCGATAGGGACCTTGGAAGGATTCCAGAGCCTCTGGGATGGGTGGGAGCTAGGGAGGGCCATGGGGTGTGGCCCAGGTAAAGTAGGGAATGGGGGGGTGGAGACAGCAAGTCCCCCACGCATCACTTGTGTCCCTTGGCACCCTGGGTAAGCCCCGCCCCCCTGCATGAGCCCTGAGGACACACCCTACTGACTGGGGAAAGGGAGCTGAGGCCCCAGGGAACAGATCGGAATTGGGGTGGGGTGCCAGAGGAGCAAGGAAGGCCCCCACCCCCGGGGCAGAGCTGGGAAAGCGCAGCAGACGACTGTGCCACCAGCAACAGGCCTTGCCCCTCTGGGCTTGCCCCGGAGCCCCCTCAGGTCCAGCACTGCCCTTCCCTGGGGGATGGGCTGGGTCTGCTGGTGGCTCTGTGGGGCGGATCCTGCACGGTGTCCAGGCCAGCTGGCATCCTGTGCTCACCCGTGACGGGGTATCCTGGGCTGGCTGGGCAGAGCTGTCTGCGTGGCTGCATGCCGGGTGACGGTGGGTCTGGCTACAGCGCCCCCACCCTTCCCACCCCCCAGGCCAGTGCATCTCTCCTCAGTTAGGCCTGGATTTACAGCTGCTCATCTTTGGGTAACTGCGCATTTCAGGGTGTTTAAAGAGCTGCGAAGCGTGGCAGCCCCGGCGGGCTCCAGCGCGTGGTGATCCGGCTTCTAGTGCCTCTCCCTGGCCGAGGCATCACCACTGCACCAGAGGGAGCGGGCTGGCTCAGCCGGGAGCTTAGCATGAGTGTCCCTCCCTGGGGCATCTGGGGCTCGCCCTCCGGCAGCCTGGTGACCGGAAGGCCCCTTGGTGCAGGGGTATGCCTATGGGAGTGTCTGTGGGGTGTCCACGGTCACAGACAGGGGTGCATGTGCTGTGTCTGCTCTGGCTGAAGCCCTTCTCTAACGGGGACCCCAGGCGGGCACCCAGCTGCATGTGTTTGACAGAGACCAGTCCCCACCCAGGGTGCAAGGTATGGGTGGAGCATGCAGAGTGCAGCATGCAGGGTGCAGCTGAGCCTGAGCTCCGGTCGTCTGTGGAGGGGGCAGCAGGTTGTGGCTCCATCCCTGAGCTCGAGGCACCTGTGGACGGGGTGGTGGGCAGTGGTGCGGGCTCTGGCTGGCTTTGAGGTGTGGAGCTTCGGGATAAATGAGTGGTTTGTGTGGTGGCCCTGGGGCGGGATGGCCCAGGAGCTGCCTGAACCGGCCTGGGGGGGCGGGGGCGGGGAGCCCAGGTGTGCCTGTTCTCGTGGTGCTGGGAAGGCTCCCTGGGCTCCCCCTCAGAGTCCACAGGGGCCGCAGCTCTGGGTGGGTGCTGGCTAGGCGACACCTGAGCTGCCAGACACGGGCAGGACACGAGCTGCATAGCCTCGCAAGCGTTGCATAAGCAGCCGAGGAGCGTTCCAGATACACAAATGCATGTTATGTAGCCGCCATCTGCGGGGAGAAAGAACTGGGAACTTAATGAGTTTAAAACATCAAGAGAAGCTGTGTGGGGGGAGTGAGGGTTTTCACGGGCCTGGCTTTCCAGATCCCTCCTCCTGGCAACTGCCTCCATGCCCTGGGCAGACCCAAGCAGCAGGCGGGGGAGGCGGGTAGGGAAGGGGTGATCAAGCTCTGGCCCATCTCCCCCGCCAGCCTTCCCCTCCCCATCTTCCTCCCGGGCCTGGCTCAAGTCCACCTCTTCCAGGAAGACCTCCTGGGGCCACTGGGGAAGCTGTCCCGGCCTCCCAGTTTCTGCCTGTCCTAAGCCTGGACTCACCCTGTCTCCCGTTCTCTCCACTGGGTCAGACCAAGGCCGAGGACGACGTGGAGTCTGTTGAGGACGCCGGGGCCAGCAGACGCAACAGCCGGCTTCTCAAGGGCAGCTTGTCCAGGCGCAAGGTCCAGTGGGGTACCTGACTGGGGGCCGATCTGAGCCCGCTGTCCCCCCGTCCCAGCCAGAGAGGAGGGGTCTCCTGCAGCCCCGGGCCCTGGCTCAGGGTGCAGGGTCCCCTTTGAGGCCTTGGCTGTGCTGCTGGCTGGGGCTGGTAGGGAGCCGGTGTCCCTGGGCCACTGGTCACCGCCCACCGTGGCCCACGCTGACCAATACCCCAAGCTCAGGTGCCCTGAGGCTGCCCTAAGAGTCCACTGGGCCCAGACCCAGAGGGCACCTCAGAGGCCTTGGCAGGCCCGGCCAGTAGAACCCCAGAGGACAGGCCGCCTGGGCCCTCCCAGCCTTTGCCGGTGCCCTGGCCAGGTTCATAGCTCTGTTCTCTCACACAGAAAAAGAGCAGCAAGCTGAAGAAGGTGACCAGCGCGGAGGAGGGGGATGAGGACCTGGATTCCCCGGGAGGCCCTAGCCGAGGGTCAGTGCCCTGTCGCCGGGTGGGGGCAGGCTCTTAAGATCCCGGGCCCTGGCGCCAGATGTGGTGCCCACCTCCCTCCCTGGACACGCAGGACTGAGGAGCGGGTGTGGGCCCATCCCCATCCTGGATCCTGGGGAGACCAAGTGAAGCGAGGCCGCTGTCCTCAGGCAGCAGCGGAAAGGGGGTGTGTGCCGAGCTGCGCAGCGGTCTGGTCAGCCGGGGACGGGGTGGACCGAGAGCCCCAGCTTCTCAAGGCCCAGACACCATTGAGCCTCAGGCCTCAGGCTTCACCGCTGCCTTCTGAGTCCCCAGCCTCATGCCCTCCCAAGGGGCTGTGTCCGTCTCTAGGTGTCAGATGCCCCCCACGAGGCAGCTCCTACATTTCTGGCCCAGGCATCCCGGACGTGGGGTCCCTGGCCCCCATGTCTAACTGTTTCCCTCAGTGCTGCCTGGAGTCGTCCAGGGCCTCAGACCCACAGGTCCAGCCAGGAGCTCCGGCCCCTCCCCAACCCCTCCCCAACCCCTCCCCACTGTGGAGAGGTCACCCACCTCCATGCAGGCTGCCAGGGACGCCAGGCAGGACTGGGGTTCCTGAGATCTGGGCCAAGTGGGAAAACCGGCCACAGGGCTGCCCACGCACCACAGGGGGGCTGCTGGGGGCAGGCTACACTGGCTCCGGGGACCTCCCTCCTGGTCACACGCCGATCCTGCACGGCGTGAGCTCTGGTCTTCTGCACCCCTCTCCCCATCTCCCCCCTGTTTCCTTCCCCAAATGCCTCCTCCGAGCCTGTCCTCCCCCCCACAACCACACACCAGTGGGCTCTGCCCTTCCCACACAGCTAGACCCTGTCACTACTGCCTGGGCGGCCCTGGGCTTCCCGTGCCTCTGCCTCTCCTCCACAAGAGCGAGTCCAAGTCAGACACAGGCTCCGGGTCTCGTCTCTCCCCGGCCCAGAACCTTCTGGAAGCCCCACATCAGCCTGAGCTGGGCAGTCTACCCTGTTCTCCTTCTGCACACGCACATCCTGCCTGGACCCCGAGTTCCCACAGCCCCTGTTGAGGTCTGCTGGTCTCCAAGGGGCTCAGGGCCCATCCTGCCCTAGCACTGCCCAAGGGGTCACTCGTGTCTGGGCACTGGGAACATGGGGTGTGGTGAACTCATGAACCTGCCAAGCCCTGCCGCCTCACCTCTTGGAGCTGGGCACCAGGCTGGTCCTGAAGTGGGTGCTGACCCTGGGGTCCTGACTCCCCTGCCCTCCCCGCAGGACAACCCGGCAGAAGAAGACCATGAAACTGTCCCGGGCCCTCTCAGACCTGGTGAAATACACCAAGTCTGTGGGCAGCCACGATGTGGAGACGGAGGGTGAGGGCCATGGGGCACAGGGCAGATGGTGCGGGGCTGTGGGGCTGTGGGTTGGGGGGCAGGACCATGGGCATGGGGGCATGGGTGGGGCCCACAGGGATGCAGGGTGGTGGGCAGGAGCTTGGGGCTGCAGGGCGTGGGGGGGGCATGAGGGTTCAGGGGAGGGGTGTGGGGTGGGGGACACGGGACGAGAGGGCTCAGGACTGGGCAGGGCCACGGGGCGGGGCCACGGGGCGGGGCTTCCCACCCGACACGGGTGCTGCAGCACCTGGTGAGCTCTCGTCTGATGCCCACCATGGTGCCGCAGTGGTGTCCAGCTGGCAGGTGTCGTCCTTCAGCGAGACCAAGGCCCACCAGATCCTGCAGCAGAAGCCCACCCAGTACCTGCGCTTCAACCAGAGCCAGCTCTCACGCATCTACCCCTCCTCCTACCGCGTGGACTCCAGCAACTACAACCCGCAGCCCTTCTGGAACGCGGGCTGCCAGATGGGTGGGTGCCGGGGCCAGGCGCGTGGGAGGGCCCGGGGGTCCCTGGGTCTGCCCTGGCTCTGATGCCCACCGTGGAGAAGCCGCCCACCTCCACGCAGGCTGCCAGAGACGCCAGGCGGGACTGGGGTTCCTGAGATCTGGGCCAAGTGGGAGAACCGGCCACAGGCCTGCCCACGCACCGCAGGGGGCGTGCTGGGGGCAGGCTACACCGGCTCCGGGGACCTCCCTCCAGGGCACACGTTGGCCCTGCATGGCGTGAGCCCAGTGGAGGGAGCGGCTGCACGGGGAAGGTGCGCCTGGGGCGGGGGTGGGACAGCTCACCCACCAGGTGCTCCTGTTCCCCACAGTCGCCTTGAACTACCAGTCGGAAGGGCGGATGCTGCAGCTGAACCGGGCCAAGTTCAGCGCCAACGGCCACTGTGGCTACGTGCTCAAGCCCCCATGCATGTGCCAGGGTGAGGTGGGGTGGAAGGGCTCGGGGCCCAGGACAAGAGCGCTGGGGGTGAGGGTGCCCAGCACAGGAGGGGAATGGGGCCGCAAGGATGGGTGGGACACCCCGGCTTTGCAGGAATGGGGTGGGGCAGGGAGTCTGGGCCCCACGTGAGATTCCTTGGCAGGCCTGTGGGGAGGCCATGCCAGCACCCCAGCGCCCCGACCGGCCTGTCAGGGCTCTTCTGTGGTGTCCTGGGCCTGGCCGGGCCAGGCACCTTCAGAATCCTCCTCCCTCAGACACTTGTGCTTTCTCCCCTGCGGGCTGCCAGTGACTAGGGCTTTTTTACCACTGTGTCCTGACCCTCCCCCGTCCCTGCCCAAGGCTCGAACTGCACCCCCCTCTGCCCTTTGCCCCCCAGCCAGCAGCGCCTGACGCTCTGACATCAGCGACCCCTCCCTGAGGCAGCCTGCCCTCTCTGGCTTACCATGGGAGGGCCGGGCTTGGTCCAGATCCCAGGGTGGTCACCAAAGGACCCGGACACATGTGTCCGTGAGGCCTGCCTCTGAGGTCCCTTGCTGCCGTGCCGCCCCTCCCCCTGGCCCCACCCACAGGCTTCTGTCTACCTGGGGGCAGGCAGGGCTGGGAGTGCTCGGCCTGAGTGTGGGGAGGCTGGGCAGGGCTCACCCTACCCGTGTCACTCAGGTGTCTTCAACCCCAACTCCGAGGACCCCCTGCCCGGGCGGCTCAAGAAGCAGCTGGTGCTGAGGATCATCAGCGGACAGCAGCTCCCCAAGCCCCGGGACTCCGTGCTAGGCGACCGCGGGGAGGTGCGGCCGGGTGGACGGTGTGTGGAGAGGGGCGGAGCAGAGGAGTGGGCACAACACCCAACCGCTGCCGCCCCGCTCTGTCCCTCCCAGATCATCGACCCCTTCGTGGAGGTGGAGATCATTGGGCTGCCCGTGGACTGCAGCAAGGAACAGACCCGCGTGGTGGACGACAACGGTGAGGCCAGGTGGGCCTGCCG